TCCAACTACTAGCGATGGCCTCCAAGCTACTAGCGATGGCCTCCAACCTGAGAGCGATGGCCTCCAATCTGCTAGCGATGGCCTTCAGCCTTAGAGCGTTGGCCTCCAACCTACTAGCGATGGTTTGGTGAAAGTTATTTCATTTGACCAAAATCGCTAAAACATTTACACGGCAGAGACTAGTGACTAGTTTTTAACAGACATGTTAGCGTGTTGTTTTGCAGTCATGCCGCATGCGGGAATATCCTACACCGATTCCGGAAGTGTGGAGCGACAGCAGTGTGGAGTAGATGGAAGGAGTGTAACATGAGACACCACTTTGTTGTTTGGGGGGGTTCGCAGCATTTGGGTCTTGGATTCAGTGCCATTTTCGGAGGCAGTTTGGGCTGCGAGCGGCCTTCCTTCATGTCGGTGAGGGCGCAAGTGCTGGGATCCTATGCCAAGGCATCCGACAGTTGTATTCACCTATTCACCGCAGGGAACACAAAACAAGTCACGCAAAGCGGCATGCCGCGACCCCTCAGCCACCTTCAACTGGTTTAATGATAGCTTTGGTGATGGGCTTTGGCGTGGCAAAGCTAGGAGGTCTACGCTCGCATGGACAAAGTGGCAGGTTTGAACATGTTGAAACGACACGGGGAGAAACATGTGCCTTTTTTGACAAGTTGCCTTTTAGCGGCGTAGATGTGTAATTGCGTTGCTTAGTATGTTTATGTGTTGGTTGATGGGTCAGCTCGGCATGATTTCCACTGGGCGGCAAGTATTTCCTCCAACACCTTAACCGTTTGCACTTTTCGCAGCACGACAAGGCCTCCTTGTACATAGGTTGATAATGGTTGATTTCTTTTGATGGTTCAGGTGTCGTAGCCCAATGCCTAATGAGTGAAAGACTCTCGATATGAGTGCTTTAAATTTTTCAATGACTCGAGTTTGAGCGGATTGCATTTGTGCCGCGTTTGCGAGGCGCAGGGGCTGGTTGCTTGACATGGTCTGCGCGATTTGGCAGTCAGCGACTCTTGAACCGAACTACTTGGAGGATCATGGTGTGGCTGAATTTTACAGAGGGTAGGACTGGTAGGGGGTATGGGGTCCATTGTATCTCATCTGAGGGGGTGAAGATCTGACACGCTGCATGGCATGATCCCAGGATATCTTGGCACATGCTGCTGATATCCTGGACTTTGCACCAGCTGAACTGCTCACAATGTAAAGTGCTGCGGCTCTCAAGCCTTTCCAGAGTGTTTTCATCAAAGATGAACATACACCTCGCTTGATTGTAAAATCAGGTCGTCTTACCATGCGTAAGAGAGTGTATATATATAGTAAGTTCTACAATGTATTGTATACTCTCCCGAATCCTATAATTCCTTCGGCCAAAGGCAGGAATTTGGACAGAATTGAAAGACCCCGCTCCTTCGGCACAGAAGCTGCTACTGTAGAGCGGAGCGGCTCTTGAGCAAAGCCTCACAAATGCCTCCCCGAATCAGGGAGGTTAAGCTGTAGAAAGGAAAACGTGTTGAAAGTCCAAGCAAGCACGTCCTTGTTGAGGACATTAGTAGCGATGGCCTCCAACCTAGCGATGGCCACCAACCTAAGACTGATGGCCTCCAACCTATTAGCG